CCTTTACTCTGACAGAAACCCTTCTGGGTCTCTGTTGGATATATTCTCAACAGAAGTGCTCCAGACCTCCTCTGTTCAACTCTCAGTTAAAGACACCAGAAGGTCTGACACTTAGAAGAATTCCACAAAACCGGGAAGTCAACTAAAAGATTCCTTCAACGGCTAGGAGTATTGAACGGAAAAGCTACAATACGCGCATTAAATGCTCATTTAATGCTTCCCATGCTCCGTAGAGTAATTGCAGATGATTGGCCGCAATGTCAGGAATACTTTATCCCAAAATAGTAACCCGCCAACTTTACCGGGTCCTACTGGTCAAGTCAACTGCTCGCGCATTAAATGCAGTTGTCCTCCTACTCCTCCAACGGGAAGACAACCTCAGTATAAAAGATACACTACGAAGAACAACCGGATAACTTTGCAATTTTCGCTAACCACTGCTACAAAGAAATTCAAACGCCTAAAAGCAAAAAGCCTCCTTGAGATTAACACTTCATCATCTTCTACAAGAGAAGGCAGAAGTTGGAAAAATACTTTTTCCAACTCAAGCAAAGTTCCAAGTGTTCTTCAACTCTTCAAGCTCATCACATACAAATCCTTTGTAACGAAGCTAGTTGGAGGAACCCCTGTGTTAACAGAAACTCTTCTTGCTACAAGAAGGACGTCCAAGTAACTGGAGTAGTGAAGTGGTGATACTTCCAGGAAGCTCAGTGAAAGGACCAGTCTTAAAGGAAGCCAGGTAGTGCATCCCAGGAGACATCTACACTTGAAGAAGACGTGGAGAGCTTCTTAAGTGATAGGGCTAAGGCACTGTAAACGGAAGTCTTTACAGCTTAGTGGAATAGTGGACTAGAGGAACAAGTTGTTCCTTGAACCACTATAAAAATCCCTGGTGTCATTTACTTACTGCTTTAATATTTGCACTTAGATAGAACTGTCTAACTCCTCAGACTTGGTATCTGTGTTCAGCAGAACTTGTCCTACGAGTTAACAGAAGGCCTACTGCCTTTGCTTCTCTGAGGCTAAATCAACAGAACTCCCTACCAGAACCCCATCCGCTGCCAGTCTGTTCTGTCAACAGAACAGGCTATTCTGTAAAATCTGGTACTTAGTCTAAAAAGCTAAAAACCAATACAGTCTATTCACCACCCCTTTAGACTGTATCCAGTACAACCGGGACCAACAGAGTTTGATTAAGGGACTGGCCTCTGTCTCACACACTCTGCCTGAAGCTCTTGAAGAGATCAGAGATGCCCAAGCTTCAGAATTCTCCAAAATTGAACTTCTCCTTGGCGATCTTGTTGATGCCAAAAAGGGGGAAGAAACCAGAGAAGAAGAGGGCCCTAGCACTAGAACTCTATCCATCAGAAACCCTTCACCGGTTGATCGTGCTCCTTATTTTGAAGCTGCAAAGAAGAAGAAGCTAGCTACTGCAGGGATCAGATCTTCTCCTCCACCTCCTAAAAGATTCAGAAAGAAATCTTCAAGCTTCTCATTTAATGAATGGATGAAAAGTGGGATGTCAAGACCAGACAGAGCTCAGTCCACTCAGATAAAAAGCTCATGACTCCACTACAACAAGAGAACCTTTTCATGGACAGTGATAGACTTGTCCATATCAACCATGGTGGCTCTTTACAAGAAGCTGAAGTCTGGTGGCAAATGAAGGTCATCTCATTGAAGAATATATCAGAAGCTGTAAGAAACTACCTAGATTGCAAACTAGCACCTCATTGGGCAGATTACCAGAACCCAAGAGATCTAGCTTCCATAAGAGCCAAGGTCAATGCTGAGCTCAAGATAATTGATGAAGCTGATGCACAGGTAGGAGAAGAAGACTCTTAAATTCTTCTCTCTTGTATTTATACTCTTTGAATAATAAGATACCAACTTTGCCTCTACTTTGCATGGCATCTTAAATTATCTGTTCTTACTTGCTTTCTGTGGTTATATTAGTTTCTTGCTCTGATACCTTATTCTTTATTGATTGCTATCTGACTGTACCGTACTCTTACTATTTTCCTATGCTAAGTTGCCCACCAAGATTTTAACGAAAGCTTTTAACTTTATCCTTTTATGGTGAAAGGCACTTCTCTGGAAATAGTTAAAGGGTTTTGGCATCATCAAAAAGGGGGACATTGTAAGGAATAAATGTAATTAGATTTTGATGATGCTAGGTTAATTAGAATTTGAAAGTACCCCTATAGAAATTTTGTATTAGAAATTTCTTTGTAAGTATTAGCATAGTCGACTTGCCAGATACCCCCTTTGTCAGAACATCTACCAGAGTTGCTCCCAGAGTTGCTCCCAGAGTTGCTCTCTAGAGAAGCTACCAGAGTTGGGGACCAGAGTTGGCATCAGAGGCGGACATCAGAGTTCGGACCAAAAAGCCTCACCAGGCTTGCTCTTACTTAGCAGAATTCGAATGCACTTTCCAACGACCGTGAAACTAACGGGAAATTCCCTAACAGCTAGGAGCCATTCGACGGAAACATGGTACTGTACACGCATTAAATGCTCAATTAATGTTGTACGTACGAAGATATATTTAAAGCTGATGATTGACCATGGGGGTATCCTCACACCCCCAAAATAGCAAGTCGTAGGTCCAACTGGTCCAATCAACTGTACAAGCATTTAATGAAGCTGTGTTCTACACTCCAACGGGAAGACTGCTCCCAGTATATAACATACACTTCAAAGAACTACAGGATAACTTTTTCTCCATAAGTTTGCTAATCCTCTGCTCTACACTTCAACATACAAGCTTTCTTGAGATTTCAAATTCATTCACTTCAACAAGAAAAGCTTACGTTGGAAAGATATCAACTCCTATCCTCTCATCCAACAAGGAGCAAAGTTCCTCCAGTTCTTCAACACTTCGAAAGCTTCATCTACATATCTTTTGTGAAGAAGCAACGTTGGAGAAAACTGATCTTGAATCAAACACTTCTTGAAAAAGAAGGGATGTCTCAAACTAACTGGAGTAAGGGAAGTGGAGATACTTCCAAGAGGTTCAGTGAAACGAGACCAGCCATCAGGAAGCAGGACTGCATCCCGGGTGGCAACTAGGCTTGAACAAGACGTGGAAGGCTTCTTAAGTTCTATGGACTAAGACGTTGTAAACTGTTGTTTTTGCAAGCTTAGTGGAACAGTGGACTAGAGGAACAAGTTGTTATTTGAACCACTATAAAAATCCCCGGTGTCATTTACTTTACGTACTTTAATTCTGCACTTAAGATTCTGACTGTTTAACTCAAAAGGTTGGACTCTGTGATCAGCAGATCTCCCTTAAGAGTTATCAGAAAGGCATTTGCCTTATTGTTTTCTGAGGTTACCCGGACATAAACCAATCCGCTGCCAGGTCCAGTTCTGCCATCAGAACTTGACCTTCTCTGTCACCAGAATTCGACCATCTCTGATAAGTCAGTAGTGACTTAGAGAAAAGTTTTAAAAATTCTGAACAGTCTATTCACCCCCCTCTAGACTGTTCCCATTAAACGGGACCAACACAAGTCGCCATGGAGAAAAGCATTGTCAACGTCCATCTGATGAAGTTCCCAATTACGAGATGCGGCTACAACAAGTATCGTACAAACTTTTACCATATTGGCAACCGGAGCAAAAGTGTCATGATAATCAATCCCCTCAGTCGGTCGATTTCCACAAACAACTAACCGGGGTTTGTAACGATCAACAGACCCATCACTCCGGTACTTAATTTTGTACACCCATTTGCAATGAATAGCCTTTCTTCCTGGAGGTAAATGTTGAACGGTCCACGTGCCATGATGCTCCAATGCATGAATTTCCTTTTGCATGGCATCACACCACCTAGGGTCTTTTATGGCTTCCCGATACGATGTTGGTTCGATATGGGAAGAAATGGCGGCTAGGAACGCTCGATGTTGCATAGAAAAACGACTATAATTTATATAACTACATAATGGATAGGGACTACCTGAATCAACCGTAGGAGGAGTGACAATGGGGGCGGGCTGAGCCGTAACGGTATGGAGCCGCACATAGTCGTGATGCCATGTCGGGGGCCGATGGTCTCGTGAGCTGCAGCATGGGACTGCTGGTGGAGGGACATCATCACGCGTGCCTGAAGGAGATGGAGGGTCCTGGGGAATACGTGGCATAGAAAAATCAAGAATGGCGGACTGCATGGGATGAGAATCTGGTAGCGTGACATCATGTGCAGCATGAGGTAATTCGGCAGAAGTGCTTGGCGTTAACTAAAATCCACGTGGACTTGCTAAACATTCCTGGTCACCATCATCATACACACGTGGAAAAGCAACTTATGGATTCATGGGTACCGAAACAGTAGTCACAATCTCTTCAAAAGGAAAAGAATTTTCAATAAAGTAAACGTCTCTTGAAACAAAGTGATGTAGTTTTTCAAGATCAAACACTTTCCAGTCTTTCTGATTATAACTATATCCCAGAAACACGCACCGAATACCACGAGGAGCAAACTTATCTCTAGGCAAAGCTTTAGAATGCGCGTAACATAAACATCCAAAAACACGTAAATTGGAGTATACGGGTGATTTACGATATAAAAGTTCGTACGGGGTTTTCCCATCTAGGAGAGGTGTTGGAAGGCGGATGATTAAATACCCAGCAGTCAAGAAACACTCCCCCCAAAATTTGATTGGTAAACTAGCCTGAAAACGTAAAGCTCGGGCAATCTCCAAAATGTGACGGTGCTTTCGTTCCACACACCCATTTTTTGGGGTGTAGTAACACACGAAGTTTGAAAAAGAATCCCTTGGTCCAAAAAAATGACTTTAAACACATAAATTCAGTGCCATTGTCACTCCGAAACACTTTCACCTCTTTGTTAAATTGACGTTTGATCATGGAAAAAATTGTTTCAAGCCGTTGGATACTTCATGTTTTCCTTGCAGCAAATGTACCCACACACACCGAGAGAAATCATCCATAATCGTCAAGAAATAATATGAACCATATGTGGTAGGTGTTCGATAGGGTCCCCAAACATCACAATGTATTATTTCAAATAAACTACTTGCACGTGCAAAATTAAGTTGAAAACTGTCCCGAGTTTGTTTAGCTCGTACACACACATCACAATGTCCAGATGACTTATTGCAAGAAACTTCACTATTTAAATTAGCAACAAATTTCATTACTCTTGGTGAGGGATGACCCAGTCGCAAATGCCACAAATTCACAGAATCGCCATTCTTTATTGCTGCATTAGCCACCGCTGCCTCCACACCGCAAAAATAGTAGACCCCCCTTGTTGCCTACCCACTCCAATCGGCATATTCAAAAGTGGGTCCTGTATCACACATATCCGGTTAGTAAAAATTATATCGCATTTTCTATCATCAACAAGGCGTCCTAAAGATATAAAATTGCAAGAAAGACCGGGCACATATAACACATTTTTCAATTTAATTTGAGGACTCAATTCCACCAAGCCAGAGTGGTGCGCTGTGCGCAGATGTAGTTGCACCATTCGGGAGAATCACATCAACTGGGGAGATATTTTGTTTTAACAAAAACACATATGGGGATCCTGTCATGTGATAGGATGCTCCAGAATCCAAAATCCACTCAAATTTATTTTCATTACCTGAGAGCTTTTCATGGGGATCCTGTCATGTGATAGGAGCTTTTCATTACCTGATATTTCGATGTTTGCTTCTTACATTGGTTTATGGGGTCAAGAAAACTTTTCCATTGTTCTGCTGTGATCCCTGGAGTAGCAACGTTGCCTGGAGCACTGCCCTGGTTATTGTTTTCCACGTTTATATCATCAATCTGGACAACATGTGCAACTGCTTTTCCTCTTTCACGCCCATTGGTTCCACGCGGTTTGCCTCTCCTTCTTCCAGAATTATCGAACCACCACTCCAGGTACTTACCAGTACGTTTGAAGCAATTACCAACCTCATGCCCGTCCTTTTTGCAGAAGCTGCAAGTGATCTTCCCTTCAAATTTGCTCCCTCCTTCACGCTGGACAGAAAAACCTACAACCTCGTCTTTGTTTTCACGCCCACGAATCAATTTTTTGTGCCTCTCTTCTTGACCCACCATATGATACACCTCAGCAAGTGAAGGTAGTTTTTCTTGGCTCAAAATATTTGATCGTAACACGCAAAATCTTTCTCCATCAAGACCCATCAAGAAGTTCTGAGTCTTCTCCTCTTCAACATGTTGCTGAAATATTTTTTCAAGCTCACAAGTACATCTACCGCACTTGCATGCGGGTACAAAAAGAATTCCCTTATAGTCATCCCATAAACTTTTAAGCTTTCCAAAGTAGTCTGTTGTAGACTGGCCAATTTGCCGGCAGCCTCGTATGCTTTCCTTCAGCTCATGCACACGCATCGGATCCCCGACTTCAAAGCGAAGTTTGAGATCTTCCCACAGGTCACAGGCATCCTCCGTATAAGTAATGTTTGTCCGCAATCAGGGTCAATGGACGTTGACGAGCACTTTGTCACGGTGCGTTAAAATAATTTTCAATACTAACACTTATACGTAGTATAGTGTAGTAGAGTTCGTATCCACATGGAAAGGAATAATTCTCTTTTTATGAAACTTAGTAAATAAAGGGGGGATTTGGATTGAGTGATTTAATTTAATTAAAAACTAAGATGAACGACTTATATGAGATTCAATTCAAAGATAAAAAGGACTTGACATTGCTACTCTCCACTTGTTGATATATTTTAGTCGATCATTGTTATATCTATAACTTATTCCCTCTCGAAGTTCAATCGGGGAGTATATCCACTTCATCGAGGGTAGTTATTAACAACGACCGTTCATTAATAACCCTTACTATTAATTAAATATAGAACAACGTTTTATACCGATTTAATAGTAGCATTTAATCTTTCTAACTCCTTGATGAAATCAATTGAGATTGATAACCTCAACACAACGGTTTCGGTTTAACCAACAAAATTAATCCCTCTTAAGTTTATTAGCCACGACCGTGCATTAATAAACCGAAGTTACTTACTTGTGAAACAATCAACGATTTACCATTGGTTCCTTGATCGTTTCTAGTAATAATTAATATATGAAACAAAACTAGTTGATCCTTTAAGTAATGTTCAAAATATTAATATGAAATATGAATAGGAATTAATTAATATTCAAGGAAGAATATTATTAAAGAAGATGAATCCTACCATAATTAATATCAAGATGTTAGCTAATTGTCATCTTAGCAACACTCCCCAACATTAATATAGAGGAAGAAAATACTACTATAACTAATGTCAAGATGTTAGCTAATTGTCATCTTAGCAACACTCCCCAACATTACTATAGAGATAGTATTAAGGAAAGAACTAATAATTAATATTCAAGGGAAGAAGTTTAAGAAAATAACTAACAACTTTAATAATCAACAAGCTTCAAGAGCAACACCAAGAATGGAAGTTTAGCTCCTCATTTGGAGACTAAACATAGCTAGAAAAATATAAAGAAATGCTATTCTAAACTGAGCTTAGGAGTATGGAAGAAGTGATTCTTTTTAGAGAAGAAAAAGTGTGCTATTTATAGGTGTTTTTCAACACCTTTGGCCGGGTACCCGACCAGGTCAAGTACTTACCCGACCGGGTCCGGTCAAAATCAGATAATCCGCCACGTTTTGGTGATCTTCGCACGTCATTTTGTCCCGGGTCACATCTGACCCGACCGGGTCAAGTAGGGGACCCGACCGGGTCCAGTGATTTTCTTGGCAATTTCGTCTGTTAAATCATACCCGACCGGGTCGTGGTTTCTACCCGGTCGGGTTTTACTCCTGGGCAGTCAAATTTCTTGTTTTCTTCTCTTCAAAGTCTTCCTTTCCAACACCACAAATCCTAACTATACTTTACAACTTATAAATAAAGACTAAAATACAATTACAACTGAAATCACATAAATGTTTACAAACTAAATAAAATGTCAAACAATCAACATAAATCAAACATAAAAACATGTAATTATGCACTACTAATTAGTGTGCATCAAACACCCCCACACTTAAACCTTTACTCGTCTCGAGTAAATCAAATTCGGTCCAAGAAGTCCTTAAAATGACAAGAATATCAACACACACATCCATGAGTGTTTTTAGAAACACATAAAGTATATCCCCAAAAATATAACAATAAAGATGGTCTTCAACTCCATATTTCTTTATCAACCTCAACCTTTTTTTTCGTTATCCTTAGGATCCTGCAGAAATAAAAGAAAATACTTTCTCTCGTTCTCTCATTTTGCCTAGGCGCCCTTTCGGGTTTTTATCCCAGCTTCCCACATTTTTCTGTTTTAATCCTCACAACTCACTCTTATTTTTGCTTTATTTTTGCTTAAGTTGCCCTTTCGGGTTTTCAACTTAATAAGCTTTTATAATTTTTTTTACAAGAATAAAGAGTATGAATGTGAGTATTCCATAAAACTCCACCCCCAAGCTAATCAAAGCACTGTCCTTAGTGCTTGTGTCTGAGATGAATGTGTTTTTTTTTGTTACTTTTTGGGAGGTTTTGTTGGTGATTCGTGGGTGTGGAGATGAAAAGGGTGAAGAGGAGATGAATGAAATGGGTTTAATTGGTGGATGGATGTAGGAGATATGAAACTTTTGACTTTTGGAAATGGAGGAAATTTGGGGTGTGGTTCGAATGGGAAGACAAAGGCGGTGATTCATTTTTTTTTTAGAAATGGTCTGGTTTCCGAAAAATCGAGATACCCGACCGGGTGGGGTAGTGTACCCAGTCGGGTGTTTCATCCCAGGGATCGGGTTATGATATTTTCCATTCACCCGGTCGAGTTTCTTTTCCCAAGGGTGACAGTAGCTCCCCTTTGTGATAACCCGGTCGGGTTTCATGAAGCACCTGGTCGGGTATATCAAAATTTTTCGTTTTTATTTTCTGCCCCGCCCGGGTGAAAGGGTGGGTGAAGTGTTTTGACCTGATACCCGACCGGTTCGGGTAGTGTACCCGGTCGGGTTTGTTTCCCAGTTTTGTTTTTGAAATATGTAAAAGAAAAACAAAACAAGTAAACGTACCTTGCATGGGTTGCCTCCCAAGAAGCGCCTTATTTAACGTCGCGGCACGACGTCATCATTGTGTTCAATCATTTAAACTTGGATCGTGATAGTTTATCTTCGCCACATTTTCACTCCTAGGACTTCCATAAGAATGCTTGATTTTCTGACTCTTCACTTTGAAAATCCCTCCAGGATCAAATATCTAGATTTTCATTGATTCATGTGGTGAGAGTGAGGGAAAGAAATTATCGTTTAACATAGTCAATGGAAAGTGTTTGGATCCCTCAATTTTGCTAAGAATTTCAAAAATGTCACTCTCCTTTTCAATTTTATGAGTTGCCCTCAAAGATTTTAGAACTGATGGGGGTACCTCAAAGAATGATAAGGATAGGTATTTGAAACTCGGTTCATCATCTTCTTTCACCAGCTGGAGCTCCGTGCCTTTTTCTTCTTCCACTTCTTCTGGATTCTAGATCTCCTTTTGCATTTCCTTTTCATTTGTCAATGTGATTGCAAATGTTTGCTGTTTAGGATCACATTCTATTTGAGAAGGAAGTTTTTCCGAATCCCTTTCTTCAAGTCTACTCACGGCTCCGGCTATTTGACTCATTTGAGTTTCCAAGTTTAAAATGCTAGACTTGGTCTCATTTTGGAATTGCACCATGTTGTTTTGCATGGTGGTCATGTTGGTAGCAATAGCCCGGACCATATCCTCTGTAGACATGTTAGTTGGAGAACGGATCATACCTCATGTGAGGTACATCCCTTTCGTAACCAACATCATCAATGTGCCTGTAAGACATGCAAATGTTGCATGTCTTGGCATCTTGAGCTTTTGAGCTTAAGATAAATTCCTTTATTAGAGAAGTCAAGAAGGAAATTTGACTCTCTAAGGATGAAATGTTGGTATCCATATACTCATAACTCATGTAAGCTCAGAAAATAGAAGAGTAAGATTTTTTTGGTGTATTTTTTTTTTGTTTTTGATTTTTATGAGATAAAATAAAAAGAAAATAATTGCCTTTCCCCGACAACGGTGCCAAATTTGACGAGCACTTTATCACGGTGCGTCAAAATAATTTTCAATACTAACACTTATACGTAGTATAGTGTAGTAGAGTTCGTATCCACAGGGAAAGGAATAATTCTCTTTTTATGAAACTTAGTAAATAAAGGGGGGATTTGGATTGAGTGATTTAATTTAATTAAAAACTAAGATGAACGACTTATATGAGATTTAATTCAAAGATAAAAATGACTTGACATTGCTACTCTCCACTTGTTGATATATTTTAGTCGATCATTGTTATATCTATAACTTATTCCCTCTCGAATACTCAATCGGGGAGTATATCCACTTCATCGAGGGTAGTTATTAACAACGACCGTTCATTAATAACCCTTACTATTAATCAAATATAGAACAACGCTTTATACCGATTTAATAGTAGCATTTAATCTTTCTAACTCCTTGATGAAATCAATTGAGATTGATAACCTCAACACAACGGTTTCGGTTTAACCAACAAAATTAATCCCTCTTAAGTTTATTAACCACGACCGTGCATTAATAAACCGAAGTTACTTACTTGTGAAACCATCAACGATTAACCATTGGTTTGTTGATCGTTTCTAGTAATAATTAATATATGAAACAAAACTGGTTGATCCTTTAAGTAATGTTCAAAATATTAATATGAAATATGAATAGGGATTAATTAATATTCAAGGAAGAATATTATTAAAGAAGATGAATCCTACCATAATTAATATCAAGATGTTAGCTAATTGTCATCTTAGCAACACTCCCCAACATTAATATAGAGGAAGAAAATACTACTATAACTAATGTCAAGATGTTAGCTAATTGTCATCTTAGCAACACTCCCCAACATTAATATAGAGATAGTATTAAGGAAAGAACTAATAATTAATATTCATGGGAAGAAGTTTAAGAAAATAACTCACAACTTTAATAATCAACAATAGGGGTGGGCATTTCGGTTTTCGGTTCGGTTTTCTTCGGTTTCGGTTCGGTTTCGGTTTAATCGGTTTGATAGAAAATGTACCAAATACAAACCGATTAAGTTTCGGTTTGGTTTTGGTTTGGTACGGTTCGGTTCGGTTTGGAGTTCGGTTTACCAAAGTATTAAGGTTTGGATTGAAAAAAAATTAACTCAAAATAATGAACCAATAAGCGATAGTAATGAACCAAATATAATGCTAGATATAAATTT